CGGCTCCCCGCTTATGCTAATGAAGCCCGGGAAATTCAAATCCCGGGCTTCATTAGCAAGTGCGGTATGCCTACATTATCCCCCTAGTTCGAACTAGGAGGGTAGTGTAGACATACCCCCATTGACTGTGGTACTCAGTGAGAAGTGCTGAGGGAGAGCGCATCTCCAGTCAACACACCACACAAGTAGATCTAAGTATGTGGACTTGAGCTAGGTTGTTAATGTAGCTGAAGTTGTGTAACTCTAGATTGATCTCCTGTGGTAGTGTGGATTAGCCCTTAGACCAGGGCTACTCAACTTTGGAAGCCCCGGGGGCCACAGTGATACTCACAGCACGTGCCGAGGGCCGCAACTTAAGTGTCATTGCACATACATGGAAATATATATGTAAATAGCTTCTCTCACATAGTGCCCCGACAACACCTCCCTAGGGGCTAGAAATGCCGACACCCTGCACCCGTCTGTTCAGCCAGCCCATCCGCTTGCAACTTTCAGTGCTCTTCCCCACCTGGGAGATGGCTCGCCGTTGTGGGGCATGTTCCTAATGGAGGCCGTGTTCAAAGGATCCCACCTGCAGGCCGCGTATTGAGCCCCCACGTAAACCCAAACCGCACTATGGGCCACAAACAAATGGACCGCGGGCTGCATATTGAGTAGCCCTGCCTTAGACTAACAAAGCAGAGAGAAGGAGAAACCTCCCATGCAAGATGCACAAATTCAGCTTTCAGTGTAAACAAATTCCTTAATACAAACATTAGCGGCAGAGCACAATTATATGTGGAGAGGTAAGAGATTATTTCTTCTAATGGATTAGTCCACCAGATAAGGTTTAGTCATGGGGGTGGCACCAACAGTTATTTCAAGTGCTGTGAATTTTTATAATGTCTTTTCAAAATCTGCTAATGTCACTCACTGGCTGTAACTTGTTGACAACTTGACTTTAAAAGTAAATCTGCCAACAGAGTTGTGATTTAACTTTAAAAAGCCCTCAAGAACCTGCTCAGAGGCTGGAGAATAAATAGGATGATTTGCAAAGCCGAAGAGATAATACAACCAATCTGTTCTTAGGTTACTTAAGCATCTTTGAGCCTCAGACCCCAAGCAGTCAAGAGATATAAATGTTTGATTCCAATGATACAATGACATGGATGTTACCGCAGGACAGCTGGAGTTGTAAGGTTCCTGAACTGTACACTGGGGAACTCCAAGGCAGACTATAAATGTACTCAAATGTACTTTCTGAAAAGTAGAACTTGAATGACTATAAATAAAGATGTATGTTACTACAATATAGTGTTGGGAAAACGTGCTTGTCTTTTTAGAAAGCCCAAATAAACTTTAGTTTTTGCAACAACCCGAGCATGATCTTTTAGCTATGGTTCTGTCAGTCCAGGGCAATGAAGTGTGGCATGGTTCTGAGTTTTTAATGGCTTTACAAGATAATGGGTTTTAAATCTCTTAAGAGTTTTATTACTCAAAAGAAAATATCCTTGTACCATTTTGCATTAGGGATGTGAAGGACTAGTTGACTAGCTGACAGGATAGTCGACTAGTCGCTTCCTCCTACCCCTTGCTGCCTCTATCAGATAGAGGCAGCAAGGGGGATGGGAGAAAAGGGGGGCTACTTCAAAGCAGCAGTGTCGCACGGAGCCTGTGGTCAGCTGCTCTGTGTGGCGCTGCCGCTTCGAATGCTGCGTGGAGCTGGTCATCAGGCTCCTCGCAGCATTTCAACGTGACAGCGCTGCATGGAGCTTGGGATCAGCTGGGGACTCCCCAGTTGACCCTGGGCTCTGTGTGGCGCTGCCACTTTGAAACACTGCCACGGTGTCAAAGTAGCAGCGCTGCACAGAACCCAGAATCAGTGGGGGGAGTCCCTCTGCTCCTCCTTCCCCTGCCCCCGGGCTTCAGCGCTTTCAAGTGTAGCAACAGCATTAGGGCTGCTGCTAACTTCAAAGGTGAAGATGCCCTATCCACTAATGGAATAGACAATGGGATTAGCCAGTTACCTGATACTTAACATCCTTGTTTTGCATTGTTTGTACATGTCTTTTACCCTTTGTTTCCATGACACTCAACCAGCCATACCTTTAAGTGTTCAAAAGGTTCAGTTTTTGTTCCAGAGGTCTGGAAAGGAGTATCTTTGATGCCAGGTCAATGTTCTCCCACCAAGAGATTTGGGATTTGGAATCCATATAAATCTCTGGGTTTTTTCCCACTTTCCCAAAAGGTATCAGAAGGCAGCTGAAGAAGCTACTGCAGAGAAAAAAAGAAATGTAAGTATGACCCTTCTAGAATTAGAAGCTGCATTTAATCAAGGGCTAATTTCCAGAGACTGTTGCTCTTCAGGGTAGCTAAACAACCCATCCTTGCTGTGAGGTGTTTTTATACCTTGTTTTGGCTTACATACAGTGTTTACCTTTTGTCACTAAGGCTATGTCTGCCATCTTTTGTTGGCAGAGACTATGCAAATGCAGCACTGATTAGCATTTTGTTGTGCTTCATTTGCATAATCTAGTCAAGCCATTTTTGCGCAAGGGTGTATGTGCAAAAACAAGCACTGTGGACATCTCTTTTTTGCGCAAAACCCCTTTTTGCACAAGATTCTTATGCCTCCGTGTGCAAAAATGGCTTGAATAGATTATACAAATGAAGCATGAAAAAATGCTAATCGGTGCTTCATTTGCCAGCAAAAGGCAACAGTGTAGACAAAGCTAAGGGCCTGCATTTGGCCTGTCTTTTCCCTCTACCTTCACCTCCCCATTCTGCGTTGACTGAAGCACAAGGAAGTCTAGTGACTTGCCCAAGGTCACATACTGAATCCTCAGTTCGCTTCTAAGTAGAAGCCACAATGCAGCTGGCTCGGAGTCTCAGTTCCAGTGACAAAACATGAATGGCCACCTCGTGTTCTGAGCTGTAGGCAGCTGTATGGTTTTTCTTGTTAGCTTCTCTTTAAGCTTCAAAGTTTAGATTAAAAAGCAAGCAATCAGCTTCCAATAGTTCTAATTTATCTTCCTTTCTAACTGCAGAATTCATTTAGGGAGCCCTTCTCTGAAGTAGATTTAAAATCCTTTGGACTTAACATGCCTCAGCAGAGAGACATTTCGGAGAGGTAGCCATGTGTATTCTCTATTTGCAAAAACTAGGAGTCCTGTGGCTCTTGAGACTCTCAGATTTATTAGGGCCTAAGTTTGCCCACTTAATCAGATGAATTGGAATGGAAGCTAGAGAGGCGCGCACGTGTGTGTGTACACACGCAAGCACACCAAAAAAAAAATTTACTTAGTAAGTGTAGAACCAGTGTTAATGAGTCTAATCAATTCAGAGTAGATGTGGCTCCAAGCAGCTGATGGAGAGGTGTGAATATCAGTTGCTTTTGTAGTGATTTAATCAGTTTAAATCTTTATTCAAGCTTAATTTGCAAGTTAATTCCAGTGGGTTTTTGATGATGCACTTAATGAGTATTAAGGAGTATGGTGGCTATCAAATGTATTAGGGCATAAGCTTTCGTTATTATGTAGGTTAGTAGTTCGAGGTTAAAACGTTTTGTTTAAACCTATTTTTAATTATAGAAAGTTGTGAAGTACTTTGTAGGATGTGATCTTTGAGTTAATAGGGAAGAAAGCCAGCTCACTACTGGAAGCTATTGCATCACTCGTATGGGCAGGACAAAGCAGAGCCAAAGCCCAAAATGACTCCTGGCATGATGCATGCCAGAACTCTGTATGCTGCAGTGCACCTAGGATCCAAGGAAACTCTTAACTGCAGGAACATCAGTGTCTAATTCTATTATGAAAACCATTCACACAGCATACCTTTTTTTACCTTTTCAATACATTGTAATATT